ACATGTAACAAGCACATGTATACAACGCGCCTTGAAGTGGGGGCATAAATGTTAGCCATTGCATTAAGGTTACATTTGTAAACATTGAAATTTTGGTGAAATAAATGTTGACCATTGTATTAAAATTACAACCTTCATTCACTTCACCTACATCATACACTAAGTTCACCTACAACATCCACCCAAGTTCACCTACATCATACACTAAGTTCACCTACAACGTCCACCCAAGTTCACCTACAACATCCACCCAAGTTCACCTACAACATCCACCAAAATTCACCTACAACTTCCACCAAAACAAATGGATGGTGGTGATTCATTCCCAAAGCCTATAAATAGGCTCCTCCATCAAAGAATCAAGGGGAGGATTTTACATACACTTTCTCTACTCCCAAATTGGAAGAGAATTCACACCACACCAAAGCCTTGAAGCCTCGAAACTCTAAAGCTTTCAAGCAAATTCCGAAGAATCAAGAAAGCCCTCTTCGTTCTTCGTCAAAATCCTCCTTCAAGATGAAGCCCCAACGGCCCTTGAAGAAACTTCCACTAATTCAAGATCAACCCCTGACGGACCTCGAAGAAAGTGTTCATCGTTCATCATCCGTTCATCCTAAAGATCAAGCCCCGACGGCCCTTTGGATCAACAACAACAAATCTACCCATTACAAAGATAGAATCAGAGGCTAAATTTGTAGAAGAGATTGTAACCCCTAAATCATTAATACAAATATTATTTTGTACACGTTGTTCTTGTTTCAGGAATTTCCGTGTTCACAATATCGTGTCTTATATTTGATGAACTTATAAATGTTGAGACTGAATGTTTGAAACTAGACAACAGTTCAACATATTACAAAACTGTTCTAGTCACCAAAACCAAATTTTTTTTTTCTTCATTCCTTTACGAAAACCTATGTTCTTGTAGATTTTTTTTATTAAACAAATGATATTATCTACAAGAGAGGGGGTGGACTTGGCCATATAATAAGCTAGCAGTAATGTGGTTCAAATTTGCATTTGGTGAAAATCGAATATAAAACCTATCACTTACAAATAAAGAAAAATAATGAGTTGGACTAGCTAGGTCAAAAGGCTAAAAAAACTACTTTTGTTTTGTTTTTCTTTTTTTTTTTTTAATTTTTTTTTGCCTAACTACAAAATATAATTTAATAGCATCAAAGCAGCAAAAGTCTTCAATTGTGCATGCACCTGATTCGATAGAAGGGATACCATCTGGATGGTGGAATGCTTGCTACAAGTCTATTAACTGCCCTTTTTATGGAACAATATTAGACATAAACATTAATTACTAGTCTAAACAAGCTTTAAACCTCTAGACTCGGACTGACCATGTGAAATGAATGCTTAGTTGCAGTTTCATGAATGAATCTAAAAAAATAAAAAATAAAAAATAAAAAATAAAATAAAAAAACTGGAAATTCGGCTGAAATCGGAACCTAATGGAACTGAAAACACTTACCTGTTGATGGAGCCTTTGCGGGGTCAAATTAATGATGCTCAAAATTGATCATTTCAATAAGATGAGATGATTAATCTAGCTATTGATCTAATGATATTTTACTTAATTTTCAATACTAATGATGTTTTGAGTTTGAATCACTCAACCCCATTGATAAAATGGTTTAGCACGAGAGATACAAAACAAAAACACTCACAACGATCTTGTTCTTATTTCTAAGACTCTGTCATTTCCAACCTTCGTATCTATGCTTCAAATACTTGGTGTTTCTTATGTTTCTTGTCACAAAAATGTGTTGTTGAATCTAATCAATGAATTTGGCTATATAATATTAATTTGAATCCTTAAAAAGGTTCGAGACTTCTTTCTTAACGACTCTTAACGAATTGATTGCAAATCAATAAAATTATCTATTCATTTTCGATATAGCGACATTACGTGCCATGTAGTGTATCTAATGCATATATTAGTTTTTAGACTGAGGAATTACTAAACTGTAGTTTTCTAAATAATATATGTATTGAATAGTCTAATCATATGCCTAAATTGGACTAACTTCTAAACTCCAAATAAGTTTGGATTTAAAGTTTAAAGTCTCTCAAGTACCTAGGACACAATACAAATCAAGTTCTCTTGAAAATTAGGTAACATTATTATGAAAAATAAAAATAAAAAAGAGAAACAGTAGACCATCTCTAAAGAAAATGTCAAATTATAAGAGTTAAATTATAATTGATGGTTGATATGACAATCTGAAGTCTTATGTCAAATTTTGTACTTCTTCAACTAAATTGTTAAATATTATTTTCTTATTAAAATAGATCTTTGAATGGTTGTAATTATTAAAAAAAATGTCGAAACAAAATTTTTATTACTTGAAATGTTAGTGATATAAGGGACCTACCATTAAAACTAATTAAAAATAAATTTGACACTTATGTCAAATTTGACTTCTAAGCACAAAGCCTTGAAATTTAGTCAGCAAATAACACTTCGGTTAGAAAGACTTTTTATGTCAAATATGCAAAGTGACATTCCACCTAGGATTTTGACATCTCGTTGGGAGATGCTCTTGGGTATCATCTTGACATGGTTTATTGGTCTTAGCCTGTACTAGCCTAGCTAACTTGATTATCTATTTTTTTTAATCTCAAATTACCGTTTATAAGATAATAAATAAGTATATTACGTAGTTCTGACTCATACGACTTGATATGAAAACGGCTTAGTTTTTAGTTTTGTTTTTAGGTCGACTCTAATCTGTTTATATTTGATATAAACCAACTAATTTGGTGTGAATTTAAATCATAGTATCTTAACATGACATTGTCAAAACTTGTTAACCAAAAGCTTTGCCATATCTTTAAGGAAATTACAACGATGATCTCTGAAATATCACTTAATTAGAGGTAGGGTCCCTATACTAAGATTCTAATGATTAAAATTCAGAAATCAAATCTAATAAATTTTTAATTTAATGACCATTGCTCAAATTAAGTCATAACTTAAAAAGAGAATTTTTATAAATTCCTCTCATACCTTTGACCAACAAGCCGTTGCTTGACCACTAAAGAAAATAAAGAAAATGAGGAAACGAAAATAGAATGAAGGGATACATCATCATACATGAGAATTCGGATGTATCGAAAAAGTCCGAGATACCCAATCATATCAAATAATAACATTTGGCATTCCGTGTGGGGCCATGCAGCTTGGTTCTCAAGTCTCACTTCACAGTTCACACTTCTCACTTCTCACTCCCACACTATTTTACGGGTGGGTTTGAAAAATAAAAAAATTGAAAAAAAACTTGAACCGAAATTGAAGAAATCGAAACTGAATGAAATTTATTGGTTCGATTTTAATTGTATTAGTTTAGATATCGAATCAAACCAAATCAAATTGAAATTATAAAAACGACGTTGTTTTACAGTACTTGCTTTCAAACCAGACCTAACCTTATTTACTTTTATAATTAAAATCAACGACGAAATAAGAACAGCAACGAGCACATGAGCTAGGAGGGCACAACAAGTGTAAAAGAATTATTGAAAATTTGCATCGTACAAAGGGGCTAGTAGGCTTAGAAAATAAAAAAATTGAAAAAAAACTTGAACCGAAATTGAAGAAATCGAAACTGAATGAAATTTATTGGTTCGATTTTAATTGTATTAGTTTAGATATCGAATCAAACCAAATCAAATTGAAATTATAAAAACGACGTTGTTTTACAGTACTTGCTTTCAAACCAGACCTAACCTTATTTACTTTTATAATTAAAATCAACGACGAAATAAGAACAGCAACGAGCACATGAGCTAGGAGGACACAACAAGTGTAAAAGAATTATTGAAAATTTGCATCGTACAAAGGGGCTAGTAGGCTTAGAAATTTCCGGGAAAGCGCTAGGGATCCAACAACTTCACATTTTGGCAGGTATTAAATGGACCATTCATTGTTTATGCACTATTCCTAATTATTCACAATTTGAAAGAATGAATAATGTTAATGCTAGGGATACCATACCATATTTTATAAATAGTTTTTAAACTCTCTTTCACACATAGCGAGTGTGCTAGCGACTGACCCAACGGTGGTTGCTAGCATTGCTCTCTTATATTTGTTCAGGTGTTGACATGGGGTAAATAAGTCATTTTCTTGTTTTCAATTGGTAAATTACATTGCAGATGTTGTAACAGTAACACAAATGTTATGTATGCCAGGCATACACAAAACTTCCTCTACCCAATGATTAGAAATCAAAATAAAAATCTTGTGTGGTAGGTAGGATACGAGGATGTCAACGGTTACGTTGTGGTGTGGTCCATAAAGTATGTGACAAAGAAATTCTCTTACCATACGAAATAAATATTTCCAATTTTTTCTTACTCTGAAGAAGAACACCAAGTACACAATAAAAATGAAAAGACTCGTAAGTGTACACCGTGACGACCTATAGCAAGACATTTTTATCATCCCTTTCAAAAATTAATCTCCTATATTCATTTAGGCTCTTCAGACAGAATTGTGTGTTGTACATTTAGAACTTACACATTTACAACCTTGTAAGCACATTGCAAACCGTCTGAAATCAACATACAACTCAGACTCAAAGTTTGACAAAATTATTTTGCATGTCAAATTTCGTTATCGGAACTCTGTGCTTGCGTTGTCTCCTTAATTGTGCCACTGGCCAACCCTTCTTCTTCAATGGAAATGAAATCAGATGAGGTCATCTTCTACGTTCGGTACACACTCACACAAAAAACCGTATCTGATGATAGTATTTATCCGTTTTACATACGTCCAACATCTTTCAGAATGTACTTCCTCCATCTATCCTGGCGGCGACAAGTCTTTTTTTCAAGGGAGTTTTAACGAAAAGTCCACGGTACTGTTCACTTTAACGAAAAACTACATTTTTACACTAAAAAGTCAAATCTGGTACTATTCAGTTTACCCTTTATTTTGTCCTTATCATTAAAACTCAAAGTTTTTAAACCCTTTTCATTAGTTTTCCTTTTTTTCAATGAGTTCCCACGAGGTCTTTTGCATTTCTGATGCAAATATGTCATCCAGGTTCTGCCATTTTAACAACAACGGTTAGCAATTTAGCACACAAGTCTATACAGTTATTACTACAAATGCTAATTCGCATATTAAACAATTTATCTGGTTAACACCAAATCACTGCAAGAACATGTAGAAAGTTCAATGGAAGAAGTGCAACTTACAAGTTCAACGGATGAAGAGCAGCTTACAGAAAATGCGACGCGCAAGTCTTTCTACTCCTCTTTCTAATCTTCCAAGATATGCATTACATCCTACAGGAATCCAATTGGAAAGAGAACTAAATTTTACATGCTAATTCAAGAGAGAGATGTTGTATCTTGTATGGTAAAAGTTAAGAGCTTAATTTACCTGCTCCATCCGGTCTCAGAACTCTCGGCAGAGCTCTACAAACACGGTAGGATCAATAACAGTGTGGAGATGATCAATCATCTCTCACAAAATAACCTCCAAAGGCTGCATTCTACTTCGAACAACTGATTCCTCTGCCTTTGATTGTCGAATAATGTTCTTCAGCCTTGTTTTGTTATGAACCCTAGTCTGTATTTACAAGGAAATAGAAGAAAAGTCATAAACTCGTAAAATTTTGTAGTTAAAAGATAGTTCGACAACATTCAACATTGATACACAGTTCAAACTGAAAAATTCAGTACTCGCATTCTCATAAAGCTTCTCTACAATGGTTAGTCAGTAGGTTTTTTTTTTTTTTTTTTTTTTTTTTTTTTTTGTAAAGCAAGGAATCTTACCTAGAATAGTTTGAATGTGAAATAAAGTATTACTAATGGTGATGTAAAGGTGATTCCTTCTTATCTTGTGCAAGTAATAGACAAAGTAAGAAGATGTTGTGAAGGAAGTGTCAAATATGAAACCAATAAACTAATATATACATCAAAATATGACAGGACAAGCAATCTAAAATAACAGACCGTGAGGAAATTCCACTAATATCAAAATGGAGATTACAAATAGAGTTCAACTTTTAAATCCAAAATCCCACATACACCCAATAACTCTCACTCAAACAAAGAACAAATAGAGAATAAGGTACAAACCAACTTTACTTTCCCAAAAGCTACAAAAGTAGCACCAATAATAGGTGATGTTCAAAAGCCTCAAGAGTAGCAACGCTCAAATGAAGCTATCGGCAAGCTTCTGTTTTCTCTCCAATCTGCTGCTGCACGAACCAAAAGGCATGAATTGCCTTATGGAAGGCTGGTGCCTTTTAATCAAACCCTAGCTACCATGTGGCTTTCAATTGGGTAACAAAAGGCCAAACCAATTTGGGCTGCTGGCCTTACAATTGACAAAGGCCCAAATTAATTGAGCCACAAAACCAACAATCTCCACCTTAACGAAATTCACATAGCATCACAAAGAGTTGAATCAACAATCACTATAAGCATCCAAAGTACGAACTAGAGACAACGAAAGCTAAATCAAATTCCCCATCCTCTCGGTGCTCAGAACAATCTCCACCTCAACTCAAATTGATCAAAGCCAACAAAATAGAGCATTTCTCCACCATCTCCTCCAAATTTGCAAACCATAAGTGCCTTGATCACAACAAAAGTGATTCAAATGAAGAAACTGAATTTCTTTAGTATCACCAACAAAAATCAAGCAAATCATATCAAAGTTGGACACACAACGAACTCCACCTGCTCACAAATACCATGGTCTGAAACTACACCAATAGACTCATTCACATAGCATGGCACATTCTCCAAGTAAAAAATGATTACAAATTTGGCAACAAGGTCTAACATACCACATACAAAACCTTTCACCCAAATTCATATCTTAGGAATACCAATATTATGCCCTCCACTCAAGTTTACCATCATCACATGAGCACCAACAGGACAACCAAATATTTCAAATTCAAATAATCAGCAGGAGATCCAAAACCATACCTCAACTAGAGTCTTCAAGAAAGCTTATTGCAGATGATAGAGACCAACAAACCAAATAGCAGTGGCAAACAAATCCAATCAAATGCCCATAGACCAAAGTTAGAAAGCATATAACTTGCCTTCTACAAGACGGTTTCACATAAATGTTCTGCAATGCACGGGGTATATCCAAAATAGTGTGGTGTCTCACCCCCAAACTTTGCAGAACTTAACAAATGGGCCCTCACTGAATACAACTCTACCAAAAAGCAAAACCATACCAATAAAGATCCTAGTTAGAGTTCAGTTCATACTTGAGATTTTTGCCTGTGGCATATCCATCGCGGATGCAAGAACTCCGAGACATCAACTGGCTTTCGATCTGAGGCCACATGACATCAGGCATCATCTTCATGGAATTTAAAAGAATTCCTAACCGAAAGATGATACATAGTAGTGACGAGAATTAAAAAGAAAGATCAAAGTTCCATTTTGGGACCGAATAGGTGCTAACGCTTTGTCTGGATAATTTTTTGACATATTTGAAGCCTGGTATTTGGCGGGGGTGGGTCGTTGAATAACCACACCCACATCTGGAAGCATCATTAAGAAATCTGAAAGTTGATAGTTCTTGAAGTCTAGTTGCAAATTTTATCTTGGACTTGGTAGTTATGATTTATTATCGAGCAGCGAGAATTTACGATAATGTCACAACTGTCACTTTCTCCAATAATGACAAATATTACAAGGATGCTAAACATAACATAAAGAAGAGAAAAAAAAAATATCATGTCATTATAAAGGAGATTCAGACAATGAGTGTCTGCAATGACAAAACTTATGCTTGCAACCCATTAAGAATTAGATTATGACCGTAGACATAAATAAAATATGTTGAAGGAATCGTGGTTATAATCATGATAGTGGTAATGATTGAGTGTGTTGCACGATGTTTAGTTCCTCTAAATTGACACTTTGAGCTCAATAACTGGTGTTAGTTCTAATATTTCTTGTTTTTCAATATTTGTATACATGAGAATGGATGTATGATAACAACAGTAGTCTCTAACAAATACTTTATTGGACCTTTGTATTTAGGGGTGTGATATTGTTTGGACCCGATTTTATACTATCGGCCCGAGCAATCGAGACTGTTGAATGACAAAATGGTTGAAATGATTTTCAATTATTATTGAGAAATAATATTGTGATTTTAATCATGATACTATCTCTTAGTAATATATTAAATTATTTAAACCTAACATTAGTCGATCCAATTGATTTGGGATAAAGGAGGATAAGGACTGAATTCGTATTCCATAGCCAAAAACCATGAATGCAGGTTGTATTTTGGATAATAGAGGGATTTGTTGATCATCATCAGGATGGGATAAAGCTACCTACAAGTGGGATTTGATAAACAAGATTGGTGATGATTATGACCAAGTAGTAATCCTGATGCTGCATACATTCCAAGTGGTGCACGTGAGTTGGAGATAAAAGGATTGGATTCAAGCATGTACGTAGGGAATTAGGAGACTATTTTCCCTGCAATTCATGCATGTAGAATCTTACATGATTTGGTGAATGGGTGATAAGATATGGCGCGTGGTGCCTAGGAATTTGAAGTTGGCTATTGTTGGTACCATACATATTGAGCCTCAGACTTTGACACATTGGGCCTCAACATTTGGGCCTCATCACCTAGCCCATAATTATGTAAAAGGAGGAGCCCCTTATTCTATAAAAGGGGATTTTCCCCCCTCACAAATCGGACTCGGTGAACCCAACAGAGGGCAATACCCTCACAAACACAACAACAATCTCTTTCTCTAGGGGGACTCCCCATCACCCTTGTAATCCATACATACAGTTAGAGAGAAATACAATCAACATCAGTGTGGACGTAGCCCAAACATTGGGGTGAACCACGATACATCTTTGTGTTCTTGGGCGTTTGCATGCTTAACGATCGGATTTACATTGTTCCAAGACCTTCCGGTTTTGTACATCAACATTTGGCGCCGTCTGTGAGAACGACACTTATTCCCACTCTCTTCAGCTTTGCCAAGCTGGTTTCCACCATTCGTACACTCTCTTTTGACCAGGCATCCCTCTCTAACATGGGGAGCGAATGATGTGAAAAATAAGTTAACACACAAAATTAAACCCTCTTTTTATCAATTGTAGCAAAGTATGTAAATAGGGATCGTTCTAGACCGGGGATTAGGAGGGATTGCTAAACACTTGAAAACTGACTTAGAAATGTAAAAACAAAGTTTAAAGCACTAGATTAGACTCAAAGAATGCAAAACTCACGTTAAAATACTAAAACGAACCAAAAGAATCAAAACAGCAACCAAACACTCAAAACTGCCTAAAAACCACTTTCTGGGCAGTTTTGGGACTCTAACTCAACTTGGACGAATTTTGGTTTCCTAGTGACCTAAAACACCTAAAAACATAAACCAACACACTTTCCAATTAATCTAGGAATTCAAAATAATTGGGGATTTGATTTGGACGAAAATAAACTTAAATGGCAGATTGTAAGAGAAACAGATTGTAATACAAAGTTATGAAGAATCAATGGATGATGGAATGGCTAAGGGGCTCTTCTCCACACATGAAATATATGCAACGTAAATCAATTTCCAGTTATCAATTTAATAAGTTATGAACCTCAACACTCCAAGTTAATTAGGTCCGCTTAAATTAACCTTCAGATTTCCCTAGGATCATTGAATTGGATGAATATGCATCGCAAACAAATTATTCCTAACAAGTTCTTTATATGAACAGCATGATAAAGACACAAGTTAGAATCATTACGTTCTTTGGAAATCATAAGCATCGACAAGGCATTCGTAACTATGAAAAGCATGATACTCTTGCCAGGAATCTACTTAACACGATCGTGACTAGCGACCTTCACTACTTACGAATATAAATTCATAACGATTAGGTGAAACAAATTTATATCCTAGCATCAAATTCAAGCATGCAAATTAAGCGTGCACTCTCAATCAACATACAAGAATAAGTTCTAAATCAAATGGTTAAGCAAATTGTATTCACAACTTATGTAACAATAACTGGAAGTAATCAACTCATTTCACATATATAATCATGGTTTTGAATACACCCTTAGCCAAAAACGAAATTAGCCAATCATACTTAAAGCAAAACAAAGATTACATGAATTAGACATTAAAATCCAAAGAAAGAAAACACCTAGATTGCTCCAACTTGGCAGCAAGTGCATCCAAGATTCCTCATTTCCCTTGTTTGCGGCAGATTGGGTTATGGACAGGTTTTAGGTAGTTTTATGGTGTAGAATGGATGGGGAATGGTATGGAAAGGTTTAGGGTGAGTGTGGAGGAGTGTTTGATGGTTGGAGGGTGGTAGAGAACTCGGCAAAGATGGTGGAATAAGGTGGAGTGGCTGTTATGTTTTCTGGGCACTAGAATGGTGTTTTTGGGGTGTTTTGCTGCCTAGGGTGAGTATGGACGAATTTTCTGCATGAATGATGAATATGGGAGGTTCAACCCTTTGCCAAGGATTGTAAACATGTATATATATAGGCCCCAAAAAACCTTAGAGAGAATCAGATTAGGCAGTGGGGAAATGCACAGCAAGGAGGGTGAATTTGTGGTGTGCAATGGTCCAAGGATGAAAATGGAGCAATGATGCAAAGTATGGAGGGTAAAATGGAGTGGTATTT